TTTGTAATATATGTATGTATACTCCCTACTTTGGATCTACAAGTATACAACTTTAATTATAATAGAATTGAATATAGCATGTCTTTGTGAACAGACCTGCACCAAGAAGCTTGGAATTTGCCGTGGTTGGCTAGAAAAGGACCCGCGGTGAAATCCGAGTCACACTCTCTTCCTCTTATCTTAATTATGCATATGTGTGTGTATATACATAGTGTATTTCTGCAGGTCCTTCAATAACGAGCAGACATTCATTTGTAATAGTTATATTGCGATAGGATTGTCACGTAGTATAATGATACGACTAATACCCTTTCTCTTTAAACCAAAACCGCCAGATATGTTTTGCCATAAAAAGGCAAATTGTAAGTCAAGAGAAGTTAATTTTATCTAACAAATTGATCATATTAAGACATGTCAGTATTAGATGATGCCACAATATGATGGGACACACGGGTTAATTTTTTTATAAAAATTCTGTCAAAGGGATCAATACAATCAATTATTAAAAAAATATAATATTTTATTAGTAATGTATACTATCACTCAACACCAAAAATATCTCCATGGCCCAATTTCTAGGTAATTTCGTCCGAAAATCACCCAAGTAATATGGAGAGATTATGCTGCTTCTGGTCATTGTATCAATGACCAGCACCAAGTGGGTCATGGACGGAATAAGTGGTGGGTGTGGGTAGTGGACCGGAGCCAAAAATTAGGGAAGAAGGTTCCGTGGGACCAACGCAAATGCGGCGAGACGCAGCATTCAAGAAAACAAACCCAACTCTCTCTCCCTCTCCCTCTCCCTCTCCCTCTCCCTGTCCTGTATTTTATGTAGTTATTAAGAGACCAACAATTATAGGGGCGCCAAATTTATGGCTCAAATTTGAAGTTAATCTATTTGTTTGGTAAGAAGGGAAAATAGAAAGATCAAAATTGAAGAGATAAATAAAATATTATATTTGATAAAAAAAAAATAGAAAAGATGAAAAAGTTGATGGATGAATTTTTTTCTTACTCACCAAAATTATTCTTGATAAAAAAAAATAGAAAGGATGAAAAAGTTGATTGATGAATTTTCTTTCTTACTCACCAAAATTATTCCCTCCAAAATTTGAAGAAAAATAGATAAAAGGTTATCTATTTATGTTAAACTGTATCTTATTTATCTAAATGTCTTTTGGTGTATACATATATTATATAAACATTAATTTTATATATAAATACAATGATAAACATATTTTTTTAAAAATAAAAATTTAAAAAATTTAAAATTTAAAATAAAAAAAAATATATTACTAACTAATAAGCACACAAAAAAAATTAGTTATTTTTATTTTTCATTCATCCTACTAAACACAAATGAAAAAAAAAAAGTGTATTTATCCTATTTTTCAGCCCTCCTACTTTTCATCTCTCCTATTTTTCATCCTTCATACCAAACGGATCATAAATGATAATAATGAGATCATAAAAGGAGAAAAAAAATAAGGATCAAATAATTTTATACTACATTAATAATGTTTTTGATTTTATTTTTATTCATTTAATATTAAAAAATTATTTACCACGTTAGCTATCACATTATTTGTATTTATTTTTTTTGTTCCTGTAGAATTAGTATACCAATAAAGGGGATTCAAAAATATTTTAATAATTTATTGCCATGTTATTTGGACTTCTTATTTGGTCTCAATTTTTGGTCATTCTAATATTTTGGATGAAAAACTATTATGAATGTGACTATGATAAATATTTAATTGTAACAGATTTTTGACTAATTTATTATTAAATAAAAAAAAAAGTGATATATTACCTAAAAAACCGAGATGCCCTTTGGGATGGATACAATTGGCTCAAGAAACAGCTAACCTCTTTACGACTCTTCCCACCTTCCAAAAGCCAACCTCTCTCTCTCTCTCTCTCTCTCTCTCTCAGGTTCAAATTAGTGCGGATTTAGATTTCATTCAATATTTTTTTGAGTAATAGGTTTAAAAATTTGATATAATTTATTAACATAATGATGTAACTTTATAAGTTTCAATATTTAATGGGGTTTACAGTAAATTCAAATATCACAGTGAATTAGGTCTGTAAATTAAGTCTCTATAACATTACCCCATTTTTTTATTTTTTTATTCCGGTTCAAATGGTAGTGCACCACAACATAGGGGCAAGAATATTAAGAGATAATTCAAATAATAATATGGATAAGTTGTAAATTTATACGTACTTAATGAGAAATTTATCTCTTATGAATATTTTAATTTTAGCTTAAAAAATATATCTTTAATCGAATTAAAAAAAATAATTAAAATACACATAAATTGATCTAATTATATCTGATCGTTAAAAAAATCTATATAATAAAGTAACTTTCGATTCAAATTTTAAAAGATAAAAAAAATAATTTTTTGTTATTCGTGGTTGAGATCCTTTTAAATTTTACTTTAAAGTTAATCTAACTACTAAAATTATCACCCTGAATTTAATAGGAAAAATAAGGCCTTAAGGATGTGTTTGAAGTGACTTTTTAAAACTAATTTTAGAAATTATTTCTCATAAATATTTTTTTTTTAAAAATTGTGTTTGAAAATATCTCATCACCGCCACTGCTGCCATTGTAGCCGCCGCCACCACCACCGCCACCGTCACCGCCACCACCACCACCATCACAACCATCATCGTCGCTCCCACCACCATCGTCGCTCCCACCGTCGCCACCCCTGTAGCCCCCATCATCATTGCCACCGCTACCACTTCTTCCATCACTGTCGTCTTCGCCACCATGGTCATTGTCACCCACTACAAACATTATTATCTCCTACCATCACCAATATTGCTCACCACCTATTACTCCCGTTACAAATTGATACTTAAACTCATTTATCTCTACTCTATATTTGTGATTTGATTTTAAATATAAATACACATATATTTTTTATTTTTTATTTTTTATTAATTTGTGTTTTTAACCACAAACAATAACCTATATAATATTACACAAGGGCAAGCACCCAAGTTCTTCCTAACATTATAAAAATGTGTTGGCTTTGGATAAGTATGGACTATGGAGACGTACAATGACGAGCAATGCTGGCCAAGGCCGACACATGCATGTTTTCTCATATATTGTTTGCTGCCTAATTCCACGTGCCAGTCATTCCAGTAGTGTTCACGCTCTGATCCTACGGGACATGGCCGATATCAAAACTTGATCGGACGATCCATAGTGATGAGACAATCTAAATCGAAAAGTTGCATACCTAGTTTGCCACGTATTAGTGTCTCAGACGAATCTATATCCTAATCCAGAAAGTCGGTCACGCTTTTGACCCAAACAAACCGGAGATTCAAGCTTCCAATATTCCAATTGGTTTGCATTTTGCTTCATTCATTCCATACCATTAATATCCACATTATTTAAAAAAATATAGTTTAAAATTACAACTCAATCCAATAAATTTACTATAAAATTTATCAATTTTTAACATTTTGGATCACCAACAAATTTATCTATCACAATTTTATTTTATTGAGTAGAACTTAATTTAATTATGATTTTTAGTACCGGGTTTTTTTTTAAATTCAATGGTCAGAAGTGTTTAGGTCAGCTTATACGCACCTTAACTAATTTTTCCTCTGATCTGGTCAAAAACAAATTAATCCTGTCAAAATTAACATATTCATGAAGAATAAAATTCTCGTAGCCTGACCCCAAGGTTATTCATGAGGCACTTTTGTACCTAAGGACAATTTGTTTTGTCAAACGGGTTATATTGTGTATTTTTATATCTAATTTATTAACAATTTTTTTTAATCTAATCTGTTATTGCTATTGAAGTCATAGTGTATCTCCCCAAATTGTGGGACTTACTAGTGAATTAATTACAACACTAATTAGGTAAAATAAATAGTTTTGGTACATTTGATTAAACAGCATTAATCTATTTGATATAAAATTATTAAGATAAATTCAACATTAGAGGCAACTTCTTTTGGTTATTTTATTTTATCTTAGCAATACTTTTTTGAATCTATGACCATCTCATCTTTATGATAACATTCCCGCGTCTTACCAAAGACGATTCTAACTTGTTTGGGGTTTGGAATGTGTGAAATAAAAGCTTTTGAAATGCGCCTCCCAGAATTTTTTTTTTTTTTTGGTGCAATGGTTAATGATGTTCGAATCGACTTATGCGCACCTCCACTAATTTCCTCTTTAATCCGATCAAAGACAAATTATTCGCCTCGAAACTAAGATATTCATGATAAATCATTTATGGTTGACTCCAACAGATTGTCAAAATTCAAATTAATAATGTCTAAATTTACAACTCATCTCTATTACCAATTATCTCCTAAATGTTCAAAACAACAAAGCTATTCCAATCAAGCCGCTGTGAAAAAATAAATAAATAAATAAGGATACCAATGATGGCGACCCCATGTCAAAAACTCTAAAATGTTGATCTAAACTAGGAGATGATAAACTCTAAGAACATCGAGATCGGCATGTGAGGTGGGTTTTAAACTTTGGACGCAAACTTATATGATTTCATCCCATATTTAGTAGTTCAAATTCTCATTTGGGTACATCAATTTTCTCATTGGATTAAGAAGTTGATTTTTTTTTTTTTTAAGATACATTGGTAAATCAGTATTACAAAGAGAATCCCGAAAGTGCACTATAGTGACATACAAAAAACTAATTAATATTTTTAGTAAAGATTGACGACCTCTTGATCTGTTTGTCAGAAAAATATTGAAAAAAAAAAAATCAACGATGACCAACTAAATTAAACCCGAAGTTAAAGAATGAAAACAAGGACAATCAAGTTTAAGGTTTGAGTTTGGTGCAGTAGCCCAGAATGTAATTTCAGAGTTAGATCTTGTTTAGCTTTATGGCAAGCAATGACTCAAGCGTTTTAATGATGGAATTTTTTAGCTTTCATAATCATCCAACAACAACTTAAGATTAAGAGAGAGGAAAATGAAAATAAAAGAAGGAAACAGTGAGTAGTTTACTTTATTCACCTCAAACAGTAATTCTAGAACCCAAAAAAAAAGTACAAAAAGAAGAACAATGAATCACCAGAGAACTTTCATTTTTCCCTCCGGTGAGAGAAATCTTGTTCCGGTGACAGAAATTTTGTTGGGTAAACTCTTCCCAACAAGGAAAAAAATAGAAGATCAAAATTAATAACAATACTATATGAGAGAAATTAAACTAATTAAACAAGTTAAGAAGTTTTAGTTTTCCTTCTTCTACGTCATGATGATCTCCAAAACCGCTTTCACAACAAGCCGTCGTCACAGATTCTTCAGAATTCATCGACGGAGTCCCCGATCGCCGTTTCTCCAGCAAAACACTTGATCCTTTTGCCGGAAAACCAGGCGTTAAGCTGAGATCAAGATCGGCAAACTGCCTCACTTTTTTGGGTTCATCTGAACGACGACGCTTTTTCACCATTGATCTCGATTTCAGGTTCGGGTCTTGAATCTTAAACATGTCGGTACACACTTCGGAGGTCTCATCCAGTTCTATTTTCATCGGATTTTCAAAAGGAATCTCCGGGATCGGCTGCAAAGAACCGCCACGGAGGACGGTCTCCACCGCCGCCTGGCACATGTGCCAGTTGCCCGTCCACAGAAGCCCCACGACTCCGTTAACCGGATTCACCGTTCGTCCGGCGGCTTCAAACAAAAGCGACTGAAACAGAGCTGTGAAACATAATCATTACAGCAAATCAGAAGCAGAGAAAGAAATCAATAATCTGTAGGGTTAAGAGGAGAGAGAAAGAGAAAGAGAAAGAGAATTACCAGGTCTTTGGTTTTCGGGGACGCCGGAGATGAAAGACATAAGACCGGCACGACCGAAGAACTTGGCTACGAAGACGGTGGCGTGACCTTGAGCTTCAGCGGTGTCGATCCACTGCAAACATGGGCGAAGTATACAGTTCTCACTGCATCCCTTCCGTAGAACTCGACATCCATTGCAACTCATCTCTCTCTCTCTCTCTCTCTCACCGGCACATGAACTGGGTCAGATTTGAGGATGAGAAACAGAAAATCAGACTAGGTTTGCCCAAGGAAATTGAAGCAAGAAGGGTAGGAAGAGACGGTGCTAAAGGAGAGGAATCAGGGTTGAATTGGAGGTGGAGGGGTGAATATATACAGGGTAATGTTGCACATATACTTAAAAATTAAATATGATAATTTCGACCATTAATTTTATTTTTATTGTACGTCTCAATATTTATTGAGATTCTTATTTATTCAATAATTAAAATTATTAAATTTAATTTTTAAATTTATATAATATTACTCGTCCATAAAAAAAAGCGCGAAAGAGAGAAGGGGGGGTTTGGTTGTTATGGTGGGTAGATAATAAGAGAGAGATTGATGAGTGTGTGGGTAGAGGAGGAGGGTTGAGTGGGTGCAGGGTTTGGGTTGGATTCCAAAGTATTGGGCGAGAGCTGCTTCGTGTTTCCGCAGACGTCTGCATCGAGTAAAAATTCGTATCCAACCATGTGTGGTGGATTGTAATATTAGGGTTTTTTTATTCCTTTCTTTCTCCCCCTTTTTTAATGGCCGTCCACTTCCATTCAATTTCGGATAAATTTTATACCCTAATATTTGGCAAAATGATTCTGCAACCCTTTAAACATTCAAAAAATAACAAATGCTAGACACACCACATCTATGTACTATCTTTATGTGTCACATCAATATAAATTATTAGATTAATAGATTATATTAAATTCATTAAACATTTAATAGTTAAGATCATGTTACATTGGATGGTATAGATGGGGTGGTGCATAAAAGTGATGAATATATCATTATTAAAAAAAAATTGTGATAATAAAAACAAAATTTAGTGAGTTATACACACATATATATACTCATCGAAAAATTGTCACATCACTAATTTGTGGGATATACAAGTTAATTTTTGAAGAAAAAAATTGATGAAATAAGAAGTGACAATTTTTTTTAAAATATAAAACATTATATAGTTGTTTTACACCACTTAACGTTGTTACGTGGTGTGTAGTGTGTTATATATTCTCGAAAATTTATAGTGGTTTGTGTCAAAAGACTCTTTTTCCACTATCAAACTTACTTAAATAAAGAGTCGGAATCCATATCTGAAAGAAAAATATTATTAGGACTTAATTTGTGGATCTAGTTTAATATAGTCATTAAATTAAAATTGAGTTTCGTTTAATATTAAAACTCAAATAATCACATGATTCCATTAAATTAGGGCTTTAATTATTTCACATAACATTACTCAATCCGAAAACTCTAACCTAGCCCCGTCCATGACCAAAACCCATAAAACACCCCGTTCCCCCCAACTTACAAATGAGCACGTGGGATGCGAGTGTAATGGTGTGGTGGTTGGAGAGGTGGGGTCCTAGATTTAGGTGGAGATAAGTTTCAGTGGTGGTGCTGTGATGAATGATGGGTAGAGTGCAATTCTGCAGTGGTGCCGTGCGGTGGTTGATAGTGGTGGGTGAGAGGGTGTTTGGGTTGACTATGACTTAGGCTAAATTTGCAGAAAAAATTACTTTAATTCACAGAAATAATTAGATTTGATTAGATTTAGGAGAAAACGAGGCTGATTTAATTAATGAATTAGGATGATTAGAATATTATACAATTATATAATCAATTCATAAGATAATAATTAATAATAGGGTGACAATAAATAATTGATTTTCCAAATTATCATTAGTATGGTAATTAATAATTATAGTTATTTAATAAAAAAATTATTTATTTTTAGTTGTTGTGTTGTATTCTCATTTAGGATACTTGGGGGCAAATTAGTTTTACAGATGTAGTTCTTCCTGAATCGAGATTCTCTTTAATATATTTTCTCTTCAATTTATTTCTTGACAAATTATTTATCATTAATGAGTGATAAACCCACTTGTACACAATGAGTCGCATATGATGTGTTAAGAAAGAAATTTAAAAAAATNAAATATAAAACATTATATAGTTGTTTTACACCACTTAACGTTGTTACGTGGTGTGTAGTGTTATATATTCTCGAAAATTTATAGTGGTTTGTGTCAAAAGACTCTTTTTCCACTATCAAACTTACTTAAATAAAGAGTCGGAATCCATATCTGAAAGAAAAATATNGAATATAAAACATTATATAGTTGTTTTACACCACTTAACGTTGTTACGTGGTGTGTAGTGTGTTATATATTCTCGAAAATTTATAGTGGTTTGTGTCAAAAGACTCTTTTTCCACTATCAAACTTACTTAAATAAAGAGTCGGAATCCATATCTGAAAGAAAAATATTATTAGAACTTAATTTGTGGATCTAGTTTAATATAGTCATTAAATTAAAATTGAGTTTCGTTTAATATTAAAACTCAAATAATCACATGATTCCATTAAATTAGGGCTTTAATTATTTCACATAACATTACTCAATCCGAAAACTCTAACCTAGCCCCGTCCATGACCAAAACCCATAAAACACCCCGTTCCCCCCAACTTACAAATGAGCACGTGGGATGCGAGTGTAATGGTGTGGTGGTTGGAGAGGTGGGGTCCTAGATTTAGATGGAGATAAGTTTCAGTGGTGGTGCTGTGATGAATGATGGGTAGAGTGCAATTCTGCAGTGGTGCCGTGCGGTGGTTGATAGTGGTGGGTGAGAGGGTGTTTGGGTTGACTATGACTTAGGCTAAATTTGCAGAAAAAATTACTTTAATTCACAGAAATAATTAGATTTGATTAGATTTAGGAGAAAACGAGGCTGATTTAATTAATGAATTAGGATGATTAGAATATTATACAATTATATAATCAATTCATAAGATAATAATTAATAATAGGGTGACAATAAATAATTGATTTTCCAAATTATCATTAGTATGGTAATTAATAATTATAGTTATTTAATAAAAAAATTATTTATTTTTAGTTGTTGTGTTGTATTCTCATTTAGGATACTTGGGGGCAAATTAGTTTTACATTCTTCCTGAATCGAGATTCTCTTTAATATATTTGCTCTTCAATTTATTTCTTGACAAATTATTTATCATTAATGAGTGATAGACCCACTTGTACACAATGAGTCGCATATGATGTGTTAAGAAAGAAATTTAAAAAAATATATACTGAAGAAGATCTCACAACGTTATTTATAAAAGAAAGCATTTGGTGTTATGCAATAAGGAAGGAGTGTTTGCGTTATTCAAACTTCATACTCCATATTATTTTAATTACTAATTTCTCTAAAAATACCTTCTTTTTTTCTAAGCTAGTGGAAAGGGTTGTGATAAGGCGTAGGACATAACCACTGACTTGGAATGATCAAGCCCATCACCACAGTATCATCGAGAGTAAGTTGGGCATTCAGCCCCTCCAACAATATTTGATTCATAAAGACTAATAATGCAAACGAGTTTGAACCCATGATTACTAAAGAAAAACAGGACTTTCACTTTCTACTGAAACCAGCTAGACTACTACCTTGATGGTTCTATAAAAAACTTAAATTAGTAGAGATATACCCACAATAAACTAATCCAATTGTCAACCAAAATTAGTGAATTTGAAATCAATTAGTAACCTCTTNCTTTAATTATTTCACATAACATTACTCAATCCGAAAACTCTAACCTAGCCCCGTCCATGACCAAAACCCATAAAACACCCCGTTCCCCCCAACTTACAAATGAGCACGTGGGATGCGAGTGTAATGGTGTGGTGGTTGGAGAGGTGGGGTCCTAGATTTAGATGGAGATAAGTTTCAGTGGTGGTGCTGTGATGAATGATGGGTAGAGTGCAATTCTGCAGTGGTGCCGTGCGGTGGTTGATAGTGGTGGGTGAGAGGGTGTTTGGGTTGACTATGANAGAGGTGGGGTCCTAGATTTAGGTGGAGATAAGTTTCAGTGGTGGTGCTGTGATGAATGATGGGTAGAGTGCAATTCTGCAGTGGTGCCGTGCGGTGGTTGATAGTGGTGGGTGAGAGGGTGTTTGGGTTGACTATGACTTAGGCTAAATTTGCAGAAAAAATTACTTTAATTCACAGAAATAATTAGATTTGATTAGATTTAGGAGAAAACGAGGCTGATTTAATTAATGAATTAGGATGATTAGAATATTATACAATTATATAATCAATTCATAAGATAATAATTAATAATAGGGTGACAATAAATAATTGATTTTCCAAATTATCATTAGTATGGTAATTAATAATTATAGTTATTTAATAAAAAAATTATTTATTTTTAGTTGTTGTGTTGTATTCTCATTTAAGATACTTGGGGGCAAATTAGTTTTACATTCTTCCTGAATCGAGATTCTCTTTAATATATTTGCTCTTCAATTTATTTCTTGACAAATTATTTATCATTAATGAGTGATAGACCCACTTGTACACAATGAGTCGCATATGATGTGTTAAGAAAGAAATTTAAAAAAATATATACTGAAGAAGATCTCACAACGTTATTTATAAAAGAAAGCATTTGGTGTTATGCAATAAGGAAGGAGTGTTTGCGTTATTCAAACTTCATACTCCATATTATTTTAATTACTAATTTCTCTAAAAATACCTTCTTTTTTTCTAAGCTAGTGGAAAGGGTTGTGATAAGGCGTAGGACATAACCACTGACTTGGAATGATCAAGCCCATCACCACAGTATCATCGAGAGTAAGTTGGGCATTCAGCCCCTCCAACAATATTTGATTCATAGAGACTAATAATGCAAACGAGTTTGAACCCATGATTACTAAAGAAAAACGGGACTTTCACTTTCTATTGAAATCAACTAGACTACTACCTTGATGGTTCTATAAAAAACTTAAATTAGTAGAGATATACCAAAAAAAACTAATCCAATTGTCAACCAAAATTAGTGAATTTGAAATCAATTAGTAACCTCTTTACACTTTGTTTTCTTTTCAAAATTCACAATTTATAAGATGAAGAAGGAGCTTTGGGTGTTGCAAAAAGCTCAATACATCTTGATAACACACTCC